CACCGGCCGCACCACGCGCCGATGTGCCCGACCCCTCGTCCGACGACAAACACGCGCCCACGGACGCCACATCTACATCATCGTCTTCGGCGCCGCCCAAGACGCCCGCAGTGAATGTCTGGAGCCAAAGAAAAGAACAGATGGCGGCGCAAGCTCGCTCGACTTCGCAGACTCGCCCCCTGAATCCTGCATCCGCCCCGAACGCGTCCGCCGGCAAAATTTCTCCTCAATCAGTCAACTCGCAGTCTGCCATAAACGGTGCTGCCGACCATACCACAGCTGTACCGCGCACCCAGCACAATGCATCCACAGTTCCCTCGAGCGCTAGCAGACAAGCCTCTCGAGCGCCCCCGCCTGTCGAGGATGAAGAGAGCTGGCCTGAGGTAGGCAAAGCTCTTGCGCAGCCAACCCCTCGGCCCCCTCAGACAACCCTCAGCAAGTCAGGGGAGGAACGGCATGAGCAGGATGAGAAGAGCGAGGCATCACTTTCTTCGGGTCCGCACAAGAAGAGTGAGTGGCAATTTATGACTATCGTGCGACCCATCACCCCCTTCTATACCTCGTTTTCAACATCCATGGCTTCGCCTCGAGGCCTTTTACGCACGTCCTTCATCGCCATAGGACCAAGCGTTGCCCTGTTTCAATCGATCCTCACTCACAGAACCCATCAGTCTTGACTCCTGTGTCCTCTATCCCGATTACTTGATTTTGTCATCGCGTCATCTGCGTCTGCCTAGATATATGCACATCTGGGAACATCCTCAAATCACTCATTCCTCGCATCCCATAAACTTTTGGCGACCCACTTTGACCCGTTCATGCTCAGCTTGACTGACAATTACACTCACGCAGGCGAGAAACCGAAGTGGGTACCATTGCCGCCCGAAGAATGGCAAGCGCCGGTAGAGCCTCGCTCCCAGCGCTCGCAACCGCATTCAAGATCGAGCTCCCAACTCCCTCACCACCGTCATCCACGGCCTTCCGGATCAACGAACGCCTCCCAACGCCCTAGTAATGCTGCTTCCGGACGCACGTCGAAAGCCAGCAGCGTACATTCTTCACCTCGTCGCCCACAACGTGGACGTGCACTCCCGCCGTCATTTGATACACTTGGAGGACGATCGGCTGAAGCGTCTGTCCATCCATCACCACGGGTCATTGCCGAAACACAACCCTCGTACCCTGACCCCAGCGGAATGCAGCCGCTACCGCTTCAACAACCCTTTTATGCGCCGATGCCGCCATTTTCGCCTGCACATTCCCCACATCCCCACCAATACATGCGCAGTCCTCCCAACGGGTTCATGCCTCCACCTCCACCACCATTCGTGCATTCGAATACGCCTCCCCCTGGACCTTATCCACCGTACCCATACCCCCCATATGGGTACCCCTATCAACACCCATACACGATGTACGGGTATCCGCCACCGCCTCCCCCTGGACCTTTACCGCCAGAGCAAGGCGGCGGATACCCTCCTTATCCACACCTTCAAACTGGCCCACCTCCACAAGCGTCGCCCTTGATCGCCGCAGAGGAACCTCCTCGCGAAGCCAGCCTTCCACCGTTGACGGATATGACGCGTCCTCCGCCACCGAAGCAGGTAGATGCGATAGCTGGATATCGCGAGGTCGGACCCTCGGACGGCAGCCCCGGAGCTGGCGTTGTCTTCGGTCGGTTTGGCCTGGAGAAGTCGGGAGTCCGTAGCCCAAGCCCCGTACGGCCGCCTTTGGCGCCTGCGCAGCATATGCAAGCGTTCACTGTTGGCGATTCCCGAGAGGATGTGGTCGATAGGACCGATCCAGACGTGCAGCTCTCCTTCGGGACGCTGTCCCTGGCGGACGCACCACCAGCACAATCGCAGCCAATAGTGTCAAATGGGTTGCAGGTGCACATCGGCGGTGCTGCACCACCCGGTCCTGCAACTGATTCGAGCGCAGACACTTGGGAAGTCAGAGACTACGGATATGGGTTCGGGAGGGCCAGTGCACCGCGCCCCACGCCTTCGCACGCACATCAGCATCATGATAACACCGGGAAACCACGGAGAGGGTATGGGAATGGTTCGGGACCTACTTATGGTGGCAGGCGCGGTGGTCGGGGTGCAGGTCGCGCCTACAGTGCCCGCGGTGGTTCACGCGGCCCCCCGCCTCAGACTCAGTATATGCCCCTTCCACCTCAGCCTGAGAGTCAACACCATGGCGGTCTTTTTATCCCACCCCTCGTCCCGCCTCCGCCTCCATTTTTTGATCCGTACGCTGCCGCCGGTTTTGCACCACCTCCGATGCCTCCACCACTATCCGCGGTTGCAGGATCTGCTTCAGATACGACGAGCTATCCACGGCCAAGAAGCGTGTTACCTGGTGGTCTTGATCCACTAAGGCATCAGCTACTCGGTCAATTGGAGTACTACCTCAGCCCGGAGAACTTTGCTGGAGATTTATTCTTGCGAAAGAATGTGCGTCGTTCGATTATGGTCAATGTCTAGCAGCGTCACTCATTGCACTCCGTTATAGATGGATGCGCGGGGATGGATACCCATATCGTTGTTGGCGTCCTTTAAGCGCGTGCGTGCGCTCACGCCCATTGAGCGTGTCGTCGTCGAGACACTCATGCTGAGCCGCATCGTCGAGGTTCGCAACCTGCAACAGGGCTCATACGTCCGTGCCGCGCGGGGGGAGTGGGAGCCATATGTGCTCCCCGACGCGGCCGAGAGCGTGGTTGAACCTAGCGTCACGGCTTCGACCTCTGAGTCGCCACTGTCGCCGGCAAACGAAGAAGAGGAGGAGGAAGTTGAGTTCGTACTTAGCAACGCCAATAACGCCACCACCGTCACTGCGCCGACATCCTAAGCCCAAGATGGTGCGTATTGTTCGCCGTTCATCGCCGTTGTAGCGCCACTACACCGCGTTAGCTCGCCGATGTCAATGTTCGCTTATTTATCATCGTTCTCTATAGTGGTCACGCAGGCGCCCATCAAGTTCATCGATTGCTTCTCATCCGTACTCTTCGGGGTGCAAAACCATGACCGAGGATAACTCGGCCATAGTTCGGCGTCTGCATTCTGCAATACACGCGTTTCAAGGCGTACCCTGACTGCGCATGCCCTGTGATATATCTTGTCCGAAGTCTGCTTGTTTCCGAGAATACTGTTGTTGTTCCTCTCAATATCACCATCCTGACGTTACACCACCCCGTCTTCATATCTTGTGCCTCTATCATGTCCCTCCACGAACGCACTGAATGATATACACAACACCACTACTTTACAATTCGCTACTATAGCTTAGCTTATTCGCCACTCAATCGCCTCTTGCTTATCAACCCCTTCCCTTCCTTCGCCCGTCTTTTTCGGCCTACTTGGTTCTGCCTTCCTCTGCTATTTCTTGAGGCATGCCTGAGTCGGCTAGGTATCATCGATGCGCGTCTGCATCTGTTTTCTTCACCCCCTGTCCTCCCTCTGCTCATTGTTGCGTCATTGACGTTAGCTTTACCATTCTTTGCGTCGATGACCATCGCTTGCAGTAGCGTAATTAACGCCACAAAATACAAAGAACCACATGCTTAGCCTCGTCGTCCCGGTCCTGATCGAGATCGAGAGTGTACAGTACTTACGGACTGTGCTCGCCGGCTCACTCGGCCATCCCGCTATCCTGCCGAGCCCTCTATCGGCCGCCGCACTGAGCGTTGTGCTTTGCTGTGGGTGGGCATGTCCATTATCCTTCCTTGGGCTCGATCGCGCGCAAGGGATTTGTTCCTGGTCCTAGTAGGACCAGGTTTCAACTCGCGTATTTGTCAAACTGCCTGTCAAACTGCCAGTGACTGCAAGTCTGTGACGGTCACATCGCGTAATGAGCCACGAGTCAAGATGGTCAATTGACGGAGGTGATTCCGATGTATTTTCCGCCTGTTTGGGACCATCACACGTAAGTACAGTCTGTGGATATGAATCATCCTTGGGTCCGTCCAGTGAGAGCCTCCCGAAGTCATTCGCTGTGTC